TTTTTTGTCCATTATAAAACACATTTTGGAAAAAAAATGGAGGCAGAGCATATTTAGTTCAGATTATCAATGACAGTGGCATTTTTGCAAGATTCTGAGATACATGTCTTTCTGGAAGAGTATATAATCCTAATCATTGTATCCATTCTAAAAATGTTTACCAAGGCCTTTTATGTGCCAAGCACCATGGGAAAATAAAGACGACCATAATAATAAAACAAGATTTTTCTTAAAAGGAGTAGACTGAGTAAATGTGTTTTCTCTTTGCTTCTGAAATCCAATTCCAAATGATAGCAAAGCAACACAAAAGGGAATATATTCTGGGGTTAGATATGAGATATAAGATTTAGATACTTTTGCAAAAATGAGAAGAAAGAAACTGGGTGGTGGAGACTAAGGATGGTCCAGATGGGCGCAGGAGAAGGTTGCGGAACGAAGGGGGAATGAATCGCTTAGAGGGAGCCCTGAGAAGAGTCCAAACTCAGAGCTTCTGGGTACTACTGAGGCAGAAGTAGGAAACAGGACCAGAGAAGAGGGTGACTGAAGGACTGTTCACACACTGGGCCTCTCTCTCTCTAGGACCTCCCACACGTCACCTACTCCTGAGGACGGGCGGCTAGATCCTGGTGCAGGCATGAGCATGTACAAGTAAAGAGCCTTGGGGGAAGTGCAGGTGTGAAGCCCTGCTTGCTCCTGCCTCCCACCTGCATACCCCGAAATAGTCTAGCTGGTCTTGGTCACACTCATAGCTAGCCCTTCCATTCAGGGGGCAGACTGTTGAGTAACAGAAGCCACATGATGGCAGGAAAAACCCACAAGCTACTGACAGTAAGGAATATGGCCCTGCATGCATCAGTATTAAAAAAAAACAACTCAAAATACCAGAAAAAAAGGGGGGGGGGGGGAGGAACAGCACAAAGAAATGATACAAAATGAATAAATGCAGCTAGTGCCAGAAGGAACAATTTTTATAAGCAACGATAAATGGCCAGAATTGTTTACAGAACATGACACGAACTCAGATTGAAAGTGCTTGCTGACAGCCAATGAGGATAAAATTTAAGTATCCATACTTAATTTTTTAAAAATTTTAAATCAGTGCATTATAATTATTCTTAACATAATTTGCTCCATTCCAGTTCCCAGTACTATCCCTTCCCACCTTCCTCCCTCGCCCAGAGCCCCTTCCACTACTCTATTGGTCTTCCTTCTATTAATTTATTTTTAAAATTAGTGCATTATACACAAGAGTGTATTCAGGGTGATAGATTCATGCATGCACTTGATGCAGTTTGGTTAATTTCATTCTGGCCTCTCACCACCCTTCCATTCCCCTTCTTGTACTCCTCTATTCTCCCTTCTGATTTCACGAGATCACCCACAGCTTGAAACCTTCTAGGAAAATTTCAGAACGCTGAAGTATGAAACTCCTCAATGTTTCACAGTGAAAGAAACAACCTATTAAGAGACTGAAGTTAAAAGACTTCACTGGCAACACTGGATGCTATAACACATCTACAACGTTCAAAGGAGAAATAATTTTGCACCTAGAATTCTATTACTAGATAAACTCAAAAAAAAAAAAAAAATCATGAAGACAAATACTTTTCAGGTATGTCTGTACTTATACATTTTACTTCCCAAATAGTCTAAGTAGAGAAAAAGATCACTTGAGAATGTGTTCCGAACAAAACGGAATCAAAGAGGAAGACATGGGATCTAAGAGACATTTACTTTAACTTAGTGTTTCAGTTAGCATTTTTGCTGCTGTTACTAAAAGACCTGACAAGAACAATTTTAGAGGAAAAAATATTTGCTTTGGGGGCTCAGTTTCAGAAGTCTCAGGCCACAGCTAGCTAGCTCCATTCCTTGTGTCTAAAGGTGAAGCAAAATATCATGGTGGAAAGAACATCCTGGCAGTAGAGTGTGGCAGAGGAAAGCAGGTCAGGACAAGGCCACCAAGAAACAGTGTCTCCACTTGCCAGACACAAAATATATACCCCAAGGCACATTCCTCATGACCCACCTCCTCTAGCCACACCCTACCACTTTCAGTTACCACTCAGCTAATGCCCTTCACTGATTGGGTTAAGGCTCTCGAAACCAATCAGTTCACCTCTGAATGTTCTTATATGAGCTTCTAGGGGACACGGGTTATCTAAATCATAACACTTAGGAATTCTCTGAAATTAAAACAAGCAATTGTAGGAACCCAAGAAGAAAGTCTGCAAGAAAGAGATGGATTGCATTAGTCAGGTTGTACAAAGATGACACTTGATGTCCTTAATAAATAGCGTGGTGAAGGAATATACTACTTTTTATCAACAGAAAAAAAGAAAAGGCATATAGAAATGTCCAAGGAAAAGAGGTTAAATAAGAAAGAAAGAGTCCAAAGAGGAATAACAAATTAAAATGGGGCATGACTTTGAGCAATAGCTGATAAGAAGGCAAAACCCATTTGACTCCAATTCTTGTAATCTTTTTATAATGCAACAATGCTATGAGATTACATTTTCTCCTGTAAATTCAATTATGAGCTGGCCTTGTACAATACCTAGGCAAACATATTATTATATTTACTTTCAGTTGTTGTATAACAAAGTAGCACATATTCAGTAGCTTAAAACAACATGATTCATCATCTCACAGTTTCTGTGGGGCAAATGTCCAGGCCCAGCACAGCTGGGTCCTCTACTTAGGGTATCATAATAAGGATGTGAATACCACAATGGGTGAAAATCACTGAGACTCTATGTATAAAACATTTTGAAGAAAAAGCAAGAATAGTATTTGCTGTGATGTTTTTCCCTGTTTGAATTTTCTGTAAGATAAATTTCTTAATAATTAAAGAAAAAATTCGTCATTCCAAGAAGAGTTATCAACCTTTCATAAAACAATTACAATTAAATCCACATACATGGGCTGAGTAACTGAATTCAAGAAAATGTGATCCAAAAATGGATACAAATTTACAGTTTACAGTTAATTTTGAGTATATACAGATTCTTAAAATTACTTTGATTTTTTTTTCACATTTTAAGATATCTGTAAATATGTGTGTGTGTTTTAAAGTTGGTTTTTCATAATATTGCCCAGGCTGGCCTGGAATTCCTGGGCTCCAGTGATCCTCCTGCTTTAGTTTCCCGAGTTGATGGGACCATAGCAAAGTGCCACTATACCTGGCCCTAGCTATGTGTTTTTAATATCTGGACCATTAGGAGTCTCTATGCAGAAAATGAATTATCTTTAGGTCTAACACAATGTGATTTATAACTAGTTGGGAAGGTGAAGTCCAGTTCACAATTTCCAGATACCTGGAGTAGGGTGAGACAGTTTATCAGAGGAAGGCACTTTTGCTGATGCCTAGCACAATGCCAATCTGCCTCTAACAGTTTGCTTAGCAAGACATGTACTGAATAGTGTGGACATATTGACCAAAGGTTTTGAACCTGGAGTGTGTAGGCTCCTAAGGCACCCATGAATAGCTGGAGACAGGGAGAACACTGACGGGGGATATTACATACACACTGCCTTAGACTTTACTAAAACTTGTGAGTATGTCTATTTTATGGGAGGGAGGGAAAAGTCCACAGCTTTCGAATTCTCAAAGAGATCTAACACTCAAAATAATTCAACAAGTGCTATTTAAAATTTTAAAAAAAATAAAGTTTTCTAATAACTTAGAAATGTAATAAAGCATAAAGCCATTTTGAATTTTTATATCATGTTAACACAGTTGAAAACGTGAGTGAAGAAAATCAAAGACCTCAATTCTAGGTCAAATCAAGTTTGATAGTGAAAGATCACAAACCACCCAGTGACTTACTAGCATGTCACTGACTTGGTGAGTAATTATGGCATATCTTATACATCATGTGTCATAAAAATATTTGATGACAATATGAAATCATCTTAAATGTACTGGGAAATTTGTTTCTTCAAGGAGGACAAAAGGAGAAAAGAGTATTTATTCATTTTACCGTGAGAGTCAGGTAGGCATCAAAAAGAACACAGTGCTGAGATCTTCTGAGAAGTACAAAGGCCCACTAGGAAAGGCAGGTTTTTAAAATATAATACAGGTAAGTGGTAATGAACAGCTTCCTTGGCAAGCTAAAGAACACTTTTAAAAAGAATTGACCTGTAATCTGACCAAAACTGCAGACTACAATGGACAGACATTTCAGGCTGTAAGAAAGTGTACAGAGGTGTAGATGGAGGCCTCCCATGTGTTGGTTGGAATGGGCCAAGATCCAGAATGAAAATAATCTATGAACTGATGAATTTGGAGGTTTTGCTGAATACAAAAAGCCATAGCTATTAAAGGTCTGTGAAGAAAGGACTGTTGTGAAAAAAAAAGTTTGTGTTTTTAAAAGATAATGCTGGGAACAATGTAGGAGGTGAACTAATGTGGGAAAGAAGAGGTAAGAAGGGCTGGAATTGTGGCTCAGAGGTAGAGCACTCACCTAGCATGCATGAGGCACTGGGTTCTATCCTCAGCACCACATAAAAATAAAAATAATGATATAAAGATATTGGGTCCACCTATAATTAAAAAATAAATGTTTTTTTTTTTTTTTAAAGAGGTAAGAAAATCCTTGGGTGAAAGCGTTTTTTTTTTTTTTTTTCCTACTAAAATTGATCATACCGGATCTTTTTTGAAGTTCAGGTTAACTTTCTTTGTGGCACTGGGGATTGAACCCAGGGCCTCACACATGCTAGGCAAGTGCTCTACCACCAAGCCAAATCCCCAGCTCTTTTACTTTGAAACAGGGCCTTCCAGAGTTGCCCAGGCTGGCCTTAAGCTTGTGATCCTTCTCCTCAGCCTGCTGAGCAGGGGGAATTATGGGCAAGTGCCCAGGCATTTGACCATAAATAACTTTTTAAAAAAGCAATGTGTGTCTTTAGTTGGAGCCTTAATTGACAATTTAGTGGCAGACTATCAGGGAAACTTATCACAGGCTGACTAGGTGCTAACAACCACAGGTGTGGCTGCTGCTTACCTGTAACAGAGAGGTTGGTCACTGTGGCACTGGTCAGGGGGAGTACAGGGTTGACTGTAAGGGTAGTTGCTGTACTGCTTGTCACAAGGCTTGGTGTGGTTGCCACCTACAGGCCAGATACAAAGACACAAAGAAAGCACTCAACTCAAACCTTGAGATAAGCTTAGGTTTCAATAATGTTGAGTCAGATACACGCTAAGTCAGTAAGAAATGGTATACTAATTATCCACTTTACCTAAACAAGAAAACGACTTGGCAGGATCAGGAATCTGAGGTTCTTGTATAACTTTTACTTTTGATTCTGTGGGGGCAAGATTGTCTCATTTCTGATACCATATAAAAAGACTGCAAAGCAAATGTTTAAAAAACTTTCTTTTTGAAATAACAAAATAATTCTGGAGTTTTATATAAAAAAATATTGTCTTCTTTCTAATACAAATAAATGTGAAACAACAAATAGTCACATACACAAAATAAAACTTACCTAATGCCCATCTTCTTCATAACAGCTATCTCATAACATCTTCTTCGTAACAGCTATCTAACCCTAACTTAAAGGTTTTAGCCACGCCATTTAAGAACCAAACATGTGCTTTTAATGCTGACTTTAGGTTAAAACACCTTCCTAAATGCAATGTTATTTAAATAAGAAATTAACAAAAAAGGAAAGAGAAATGTAAATTCGACAATCTTTACCTTTTGAACCCTCAGGGGCACAGGGGCAGTCACATTTATGATTGCCCTAGAAATCAGGGGAGCCATGTGGCTACTACATTTCCTTCCGTCTGGGAACACCATCCTAAGTGCGGACAGCAGGAGTTACTCAAGGAGGGAGTCTATGAAGAACCATGCATGTGAGAGTGAAGGTCTGAGGCGACTGCTTGAGCACAGCCAAGGCCACAGTTTACCTGGGAACTTACTATCACTCAATTATAATAACTGTAGAACATTAGGCTTTAGGCCTTAACATAAGTCAAGAGTAATTAAATTTTTTTTGAGATAACTAAAAAAAATGTACCACTATAGTTACAGTTATTGGTTACCCAATAAACTATACCAGAGACAAAAACAATGAAAATGCAATGAAATAGGTAAAGAATTAAAACTGTTCATTTTAAAATATAAGAAAGACCATTAACTTCTTGGATTAGAATGTGAAATTTCACTGTTTTGGAAATATCTGAAATATAAATTTATATGCACTTATTCAATATGAATGCTGTACATATACAATAAATTCCTGTCTGTTAGAAAATAAACTGACGTCAGAAGCCGTCTGTGAAATCATAAGTGAGCCCCGAGCCCGCATCTGCTGTCTCTGCTCTCACCAGTGAGGCTGGGCTGGGGAAAACTGCTTTGATAGGAGAGCTGCTGGTCCCACCACTGCTCGGTGGGTTGATTCTTTTTTCCTTCTGCCGGCGGTTACAGAACCACACCCGAATCACCTCCTTTTCCATATTGAGCTGTTCAGCAATCAAGGTGATCTCTTCCGAGGTAGGCTTTTGATTCTGAAGAAAAAAAATCCCATCTTTTGGAATAACTTTTTGAACAAATGATATTGATACAATCATAGAGAAAAGCAAGTCAGAAAATGAAGTCAGGAAACTTATGACCATATTAGGCCACTTTCGATATAGATACAATTTCTAATGAATCTGCTCATGTTAACTTAGAATAGGCTATTCTTGAATATTTAGATATAATATTTATTTATAAAAGGTGCATTAATTTTGGGAGTGGGTGTAATACTGGGGATTGAACCCAGGGGTGCTCTACCAGTGAGCTCCATCCCCAGCCCTTTCTATTATTTTTATTTTGAGACAAGGTCTAATTTGCCAAGGCTGGCCTTCAAATTTTGGTTCTTCTGCCTCAGTTACCCAAGTCACTAGGATCATATATGTGCGCATCACTGCACCTGACTCTCAATCCTTTGAATTAGAGAAGCCACAATTCTGGGGCTGGGGTTGTGGCTCAGTGTTAGAGTGCTTGCCTAGCACATGTGAGGCCCTGGGTTCGATCCTCAGCACCACATAAAAATGAAGTAAAGATATTGTGTTCACCTACAACTATAAAAAAATAAATATTAAAAAAAAAGAAGTCAGAATTCTGTTGGAAGCTTTTATTATAATATTCCCTAGTACAAAAGAGATGCTGGGAGGGGCTGAGATTGGGGCTTAGCGGCAGAGCACTTGTCTCCCACATGTAAGTCACTGGGTTTGATCCTCAGCACCACATAAACTTGAATACAAAACAAAGAAATTGTGTCCATGTATAACTAAAACAGAGAGAGAGAGAGAGAGAGAGAGAGACAAGACATGATGAGTGTCTTCAGAGTTATCTTGAACTTCAAGATCTCTAGTATTTGGCCCCAAACTACCATTGTAAGCACACAGACGCTAGAATCCAATCACCACTGGTGTCTCACTGGTGCAGCCCAGGCAATTTGAAGTGCTTTCCTCCATCTTCTCTAGGCTGTAGAGGTAGCTGCCATGCATCCTACGGGTCACTGCCACCTCTTGCGCACAGAACACATACACATGGCTGCCACCAACTTTCTCGAGTCCACGTACTCTGGTCTGTCTTCGTGGTAAATAATCTGCCTTGTCTCATTTTCTCCACTATGTTGTAAGTGTCCTACATTAACTACAGACAATTCCGTGCACATGAAAAACAGACCCTTACTGACCTCCAAGAAACTCTTCTCTAAGGCCGCACGGATGTTGGTCTCTATGCTGGTGCGTTTCTTTCTCCTACGATTCAAGCCCTCAACTCCTTGTCCTGAGGAATTGAGGGCACTTGGGCTGGAGACAGCTGAATCAGATGAGAGGTTCTCTGTAAGAATGAATCAAATAGAAATAAGATTTCAGATGTGAGTCATATGTGCACAACACATGTTAACCCCACCAACAAAACGGATAAAACATTTTAAACTACATCCTAGCATAAGAGGTCTTCACCCAAGCTACATCACACCACCACATGGATTCAGTGCTCGTACTGGCATTCTCTGGCCCAGGATGGCTGGCTACAGAGCCACCACACTACTATTTTGGTTCTCTTTCTGAGAATGTAGAAGTTTACTATTCTTATGTTTTGACTCAGATCTCTCTCAGTTCTGTTCTTATGTTTTGTTCTTTTTATAAAACCGATAAAAGGGGATAAAAGGGAGAAAGCCTCTTGGAAACTGTTGAGTGTTTAATATAATATTTATCTTATAAATAACCTTTCATTTTATTTATATGATATGGGGGCGGGGAGAGAAAGACTACTTGTAAATTCCTTAGTTAAAATAATGTTCTGTCATTTAACAGCTTAACGACCCACAGTATGGCACACTCATCTCTGGACTTCTTTCTACTACATGGAGAACGAGATAGAGCAGACCAGCAGCTCTCACCTGGGATACTCAGAAGGACTATGATGGCTCACCCAAGGCTGCTGAAATGACCAAATGTGTGTTTTCAAAAGGCCTGATTTTTGTTCAGATCTACAAAGAGAACCACAATCTAGGGCACCTTTCGGGTTCCCTTTGGCTCTCATGGTTTATCATTCTGTGGTTCAAAACCCAATTTTCCAAAAGGAAATCTTGGCACAAAATAGTTAAGACCAGAAGCCCAAATTTTTGTATAAAATATGTGCCATCTTTAATAATAAAAGCAGAAGTGTTACCAGGAACAAGTTCTATGATAATACCCCAAGGAAGAAGCAACAAATCCGCTGAACTTTATCTAACTACACAGCCTTCTTCTCCTCTTCCTCAAATTTGAGTGCATGTCGAAATCTGGCTCAAACACAACAGGTATTTGAAAGCTGAAAATTATTGCTTATTATTTACATTGTCATTATTAGAATATTTAAAAGAATTAGCTCTCTGATTTACATAGCCATAGTTTATGATCCTCCTAGGATTAATGGGCTTCAAAATTTTGTAGTCAGCTGGGATTGTGAAACAGACTTCTTGTCTCTTACATGTGAGGCACTAGGTTTGATCCTCAGCACCACATAAAAATAAGTAAACAAAATAAAGATATTGTGTCCTTGTATAACTAAAATATTTTTAAAAATTGTAGTATGAATTGTACAGTAAAAATTAGAAATTCTATAGTTTATACAAAATTCCAATGAACACTGAAGAAATATTTTATACCTCACTTACCTGCATCATTTAGCCACTTCTCTAAAAGTGGCTTTAACTTGCACATGTTCTTAAAGCTGAGGTTCAAGGCTTCAAAGCGAGAGATGGTAGTTTGGCTGAAGTCATTTCCATATAGTTTACCCATAGCAAGCCCAACATCACCCTGCACAACCCAGAGCAGGAAATGGGGAGAGAAGAAGAGAAGTTCATCTCATTAATAATCCTTCATTCTGGGGGGATGCTCCAATAACTGCTCTAGACAAAGAATCAAAAGTCATTCTCTTTACTGGGTCCTGCACAAGTTCCACCCCTAAGCTGAGCACAATATTATAAAGGAGGACTCTGTAGGGCTTTGATCCATGTCAGTGTTCAACTCTGCCCCATATACTTTCCATTTTGAATCTCTTTTTGCTATCTTATATGATAATCATGATAACAAAACTTCTGTAAGTCTCTAAAACAGGGTGATATTCTTAATCAATGCAACCAAAGTAATATAAGTAATCTTTAACCAAAGTAATATAAGTAATCTTTAAAAATAAATTCACCTGTATCACCTACCAGGATTAGGTGTAACTGTCTAGATAACCCCAGGCATTTCTGAGCTAATCAAACTTCCCATAACACACTTCAAAAATTACAAATGATCCTTCATTCTTTTTATTTTTTTCTTATAAAGTATTTTTGGAAGCTCTGGGGGGGGGGGGGGAAATCAATTTCCACCCTTAGTTTGGATTTCAAAGTTGGTTACAAAAACAGGTATTCAAAAAGATCACTTTTGTAACCATTGTAGAGAGAGAAATTCACAGTAGAGAGGTCTGACCCATTTAGTCAAAGCTTCATGGGTCCTGGAAACCTGGTGGCTGTAGAGAACAATGACTCCTGAATGTATTACAGAATGTGTCTTTCACCAGGCACCTGGAACCTTTGAAATGTGCACGTGCCTTTCTTCCAGCTGGATTTTCCCTGTTCAAGCTGGAAAAGGCCAGGTGTTAACAGGCAGAAGCTCATGGAGTTTAAATGAGGTATCCACTCATTTCAATTAGTTCAGTGACAGGGACAAAAGGCAACAGCAGCTAACTCTCCCAAGAGGCAGCCTGTTCCCAGCTATCCTGGCCACACTGGTACTGAACTGGACTGTCCTACCTTGTGACCCACCCCATCATCTTCTGGATACTATACTGTTATTAGCATCTGCATCAGGTAGTAGTTGAGGAAAAGAAAGAACTCCCCTGCCCAACTCCATTTTCTTACAGGTGAAGTACTCCTGACAAAAAGTTTCACAGAACACAAATGTGAATAAAACGAGGCATAGAGAATACTTAAACTTCAAATGATCTACAGCCCAGGACTCCCATATGAAAGCCACAAGCCATACAAGGCTATTTACATTAAAATTCATTAACATCAAATTAACTAAAACTGCAGTTCATCAGAACATTCCCTTTCTGTTGGTGCTGGGCAGACGCTGTGGCTTCCACTGCAGTGGACTGCTCATCACCTTCCTCCCAATTAGACAGGAGGGAGGGACCCGGGCGGGGCAGGCTGCACAGAGGGAGGGCTCCTCTACCAGGGTCAGGCACTGACCTTAGGCCCATGTGCTGCTACCCATTCACACCTGGGACACTCCATCCATTTAAGTTTATGGTTTCAAAAAAAACTGGGGCAACTTAAACTTGCAATTTTTTGAGTATGACACTGAGTAGCAGTTAGATGACAAAAAATGTTTTCTGAAGTACAGTGGAAAAATTCACTAAGAATTTTTTACAAATACCTGTAATATTTAATCATGAAAGTAATAATTTTGACAAGTAAGCAAAAAATACCTATTAAAAAAAAATAATGTCAGCTGGGTGTGTTGGCGCAGGCCTATAATCCCAGTGGCTCAGGAGGCTGAGGCAGGAAGACTGTGAATTCAAAGCCAGTCTTAGCAACTTAGGCCCAAAGCAACTCAATAAGAACTTAAAATATTTTTTAAAAAAAGGGGGGAGGGTGTTGTGTATGTGGCTCAGTGGACAAGCACCCCTGTGTTTAATCCCTGGTACCAAAAAAACAAAACAAACAAACCAAAAAAACCCATCACATCATAGCAAGTATAAAAAAAAAATACTTTCAGTTGGTGTCTGGTAAAGCTGTGCCATCAACTAGAACCATGCCAATAAACGGCAAATTCACTTAACTGAGATTTGTAATACAATGTTACTCCACTCTTAAATTGTTTGGTGGAATAAAAATCAATATGTCCTTTAGTTAACATATCAATTTTCAAAATTTTGCTATGTGCTTGGATAAGTAATCTTGAAACTCTTGGATTCTTCCCCACAAGTCAAACATTTAAAACAGCTGATTCATACATGATCTGAACTATATTATATCCCCTAAATATTTTTAAAAAGAGCAAGAGGAATAAAGAAAGATTGGGACTAGGAAATAATGAATCCACTACATTTTGTAAACGTGTTATACCTTATGACATGCTTTATAATAATGTAATAACACCCACAGCAATCCTTTAGTAAGTACTTATGTAATTAGAATATAATTGTTCTAATAATGTATATTTACTCAGAGAATAGGGATTTGTTTCAATAATGTTTAACTTTCCTTCTGTGTATAAATATAATAACCAGATACAATTCTGCCTTTGCACAATTACAACAAAAGTGAGTAACTTAAAAGCTAAGTTGATTTTCTCATGCTGCAGCAGTACGTGTGTTTTAATCCACCTAATCAAGGTTTGCAAACTCCTATAACTGCTATGTCCAAGTTATTCTGAAAAATAAGGAATGGTCATGCAAAACACAGGATGGAACCATAAAGCAGAACACGGGCCCACAGGAGAACTCCTTTACCTGGAGAGGGAGGGACACACACACACACATACACACACACACACAAAACCACTGGCAATGTATCGGGTCATATGCTGCAGAAAGGTGAACCATGATTTGGGTGAATGTTAAAAAATAAAAGCCTTGGCATATCACTTAAGCAAAAATCTCCCAGGAAACCCAAGAGTATGCTGTGCTAATAGCTTAAAACTGGGCACACTGCTAAACATGCTAATACCTATTTCAGCTTATTAACTTACCCTTTCAATCAATCCAGTTTTAATCCTTTCAATCCAGTTTAATCTTGAGTTTTATTTTTAAAACAAGTCAGATCACTCAGGTGCTTAAAAAGTACTAAAATGTTTCTGGATTGTAATTTGTTTCTTTATAAATGAACTCCTCAAAAATGTAAAAATTTCACCTAAAATTACATCTATTTAAAAAATCATTGTGTCCCTAATGCGTACTTTCTTTGAACAAAAATAAATTCCCAAATAAATATAACAGAAATCCATTTATAAAAACATAAATAAACATCAACTAAATATCATAAGCAGAGATGTCATCTTGATCCACCACAGCAGATGGTGCATTACATACTTTCAACACAAAATAATTAGGGTAGCATATAAATGTTGGCTTAAATTCCAAATAATAACTATATTCTCTGGAAAGAAAATTTTCGGATTTTTCTGGACTCCATAAAAACACCCAACCCAACCCACACTTCAGGTTTTATTCCTCCACCTCATAACCTCCGACACTCTGTACCAAGGTCATTCAGATGAACTCTTCTCCTGCTCTGATAAAAGGTGTGACTCAGGGTAGTGCTCAGAGTGAAAATGGAGGATGCCCAGATGACTGCCGAGTACCCTCCTTCCATTGGGGAGCCCGCTGCTAGCTGACATTAAAAAACTAATTTGGATTTTGATTAATTTGTATTTTTCATTTTCAATAGACTCTTACTTGATTAACTGGTTTCAACACAGGCTTAGAGAGATTGTGTGTGTCTACCCCCACCCTCTTCCCCAAAAGCTATTATTCTTTTCTTTCCTTTTCTTTTTTTTTTTTTGGTATTGGGAAGAGAACCCAGGGGTACTTTACCATGGAGCTACATTCCTCAGCCCTTTTGTGCTGTACTTTCTACTTGGAGGCAGATCTTACTAAGTTTCTTAGGTCCTTGCTAAACTGCTGAGGCGGCCATGGAATTTGCAATCCTCCTGTGCCAGCCTCCCAAGTCACTGGGAAAAAAACTATTTTTAAATGAGCCTTTCAAACATATCCATTTCAGCTATTATAAATAAACACTGTAAGTTTTACTCTTAGATAATGTAGCAGTAAGGTCACAACCAGATGTTCTTCAAATAATAAAACCTTCAGTACAGTTATATCATCCCCCAATAAAATCTTTCAAATGCTCATAATTTATTAATGTAATTGTGATTTCAGAGGCCTGGGCTGTGGGATGAATCTTGGATGTTTTGTCTAACATTAAATCATAAATGTACGACTGTAACTTATAGCTGAATGCATAACGTTCTAAACTTACAAATGCTAAATATGACAAGAATCTATAGTCAAATCAAAACTACCATGGCCGAGGGATACCCTGCTCCCTGAAGCCCCTTAGACTCACACCAGGAGGCTGCCTGGGGGTCTCCTCCTACCTGAGTGAAGCCGAGTTTGATCCGCCTCTGTTTGAAGGTCTTGGCAAACTGCTCGAGCTCCTCAAGGTCGCTGGGCTCCTCCAAGCTGGGAGTGTCGATGCGCTTTGGTGTGGTCTGGCTCTGCGGAAGTGTCTGGATAGGGGTTGCTGCTATTGTGCGTGTTGGGGTTGCTGGCTGTTGTGAAGGGACAAAATGACAAACAAGCAAAAGACATTTAATTTACAACAGTGATGTGCTGCAACCAAACACATTAAGACACTAGTTGACTTGTGGAGAATGAGGATGACCAGGGAGCACTACAGAGGGTATAGCACACAGTTCACTGGGAGTGCCGGCCTGGGCTTAGGCATGGGGCAATCACAGCAGGTCTAGGGAAAAAACCTGGAAACATACAGATAAAATCAACTGTAATGAGCACATGATCCTTAAAGATGTATCTCATGAATTGCCACACAGATTGGCAAAACAGCAGGGACTACATCTGACTTACTCCATTTCCAAATGTGACAGTATTATAAGACTATCAAGACCATTTTAGGGGAGAACTTAAACAAATTGCCTGTACTTTAAAATAACTTAAACAGGCATCATTTGGAGTATTTATTAAATTTTTACCTACAGGCCTACTTTTTAACCCTACCTGTAATTATTATTATGTGATACATGATTTTATACTATACTTTCTCAGGTAATATTATGTTTTAACTTTTTTCTATGGTGATTTAGTCTTCAAGATTATCCTTTTCAAAGAATGAGGCAGTTTTGTCATAATTTATTTAACCATTTCTTAATTGCTGGACAGTTTTTCATTTATGTTTCATTCTATAACACAGAAAATACCACAAGGAAAAACTTTGCACATCTAGTTATCTATGTGTAAGCAGCTCCTCAAGATCAATTCACAAGATTTTTCTGGCAATGGACAAATAATGTCCTGGTTTTGATATGCTACTGTAGTCTTTACTACATGACACCTAGCTTCCTCCACATGGATGGTGTCAGCAGTTCCTTTATTTCCACTTTGGGTGATTATGAACAAATCTGCATAACCAATATATATGGGTCTTTCATTTCTGCAGACATGTGCCTTCGTTTCTAGGAGTCATAAGACACATATATATTTCACCTTATAAGAAACTGCCAAACTAATTTACAAAGTGTGTATATGTTTTGTTCCTCAGGGTATACACTCAACGTCACCTCTGCTGTAACTTGTATTCCTTACTACTTTCTATTACGTAGAAATCGCCCCATGTGTTAATTATTATCTGCATTTTCTTGGATGTGAACTAGATTTATATCCTTAACCCACTTATATATTAATGATATCCTCATTCTTGTTCTTAAAGGTATTTGTCAAACATTTACCAAATGTGGCAGTGTGTGCCTTAGTGTAATCATATTAATGAAAATAATTTTCCAAATGTGCTTTTTTTCTTTTAACTTAAATGCACGTAAACTTCAAATGATCATTTGGTTCGAGAAGTCTTCCTACCTTCCAGTATCTTCAGTAGTTCAAATGGGAGAAAGCACCACTTATTTCAAACACTGAACTGAGAAGTTTCCTTCTGATCATCTGCTACCACCTTCTTTATATTTTGTTTAATTACTTATATCCATGTAAAGTTTAGTCTGGGACATAAAATTATAGTCTATCACCTTCTTTATCTCTCTTTGTGCTAAAGACTCAGTCCAGGGCCTAGGGTATGCTAAGCACGTGCTCTAGCCTCTAGCACTGAGCTACCCCTAGTCCCTGTCTATGTGTCTTTTTTTTTTTTTTTTTTTGGTACCAGGGATTGAACCCAGGGGTGCTTAACCAGTGAGCCATATCCCCAGCCCTTTTTCAAAATTTATTTTTTATTGTATATTTTGAGACGTGGCTCACTAAGTGGCTAAATTGCTGAGTCTGGTTTTGAACTCGTGATCCTCCTGCCCAGCCTTCTGAATTGGTGCACCACTGCCTGCCGCTCTTTCTTAAAAAGGAAAATATTAAATTTTCTTATTACAAACGCCAGGCTAGTGTTCTCACAAGCCCTGAGTAGGACTCTCTAGAACCTCTTGTGAGTACTCACTAATGGAAAGTGCTGCTCTTATTTTGTATCCTGATTGCTCAGCTGAACAGCAGCTTGTTGAACAGTAGCCAGGTGAAGGATTACAGAACAAGGCTGCAGATAAAGACTATGAAATTCCCTTTGTGAAATTCAGATGAGTCATGTATCCGACCTTGATTTCATTTGTCAAGGCTCTCTCCAAGGAACTGATAATGCAGAAAACTACAATAGGCACCACACCATCACTGGGTAAGTTCATTTCTATCTGCTTCCATGAAGGCAATGAAGTTCATCTTCATGACATATGGACACTGGGTAATATTCAATCCAGCAGTTTTGGTGGAGCCGAACACAGCACCAACCACACCAGAATTCTATGTGGCCTCACATTTCCCACAGTGACACTGGCTGACAGGTGGAGGTATGTCTCAAATATCGGATTTTACTTAATCTCCAGGTTTCAAGCAGCCTCTTTTCCAAATAGTACAGGACCAAGTGGAGTTACAGATAAGATACCCAACTCAAGAACCCCAGGCTGGACCGGGCCAGATGTACAAATGGCAGAGTGGAGTACAATAAGCAGGAGCCAGGATGAAGCCATGAGAGTCTTAACCATGCGCAGAGCATGCACACTAGGAAGAAGTCTCCAGAGTAGGCGTTTGTGAAAATCTCAGCCTTACTTCTGCTACTTGACTTATAAAAGGGCGTACTTTGTTTTGGAAACTGAATACAGTTACATAAGTACTAACACAATGAAGATACCGAACGTGTTCATGACTCCCCAAAGTTCCCTTGTGCCTTGGCAATTAACCTCCATCATTAGCTTCCAGTCCCTGACAACCACTGATAGAATGTCTCAATACCTACAGTTTTATCTTTTCTAAAATATCATGTGAACTGAATCATACAGCATGCAGTCTTTTATATCTGGCTGCTTTCATTTAGCTTAAGCCTTCTGAAATTCATACACATTGTTGCATTGTTTTAAGAATATTTTCTCCCCATCTGTGCTTTTTCATTTTATCCTCTTAAGCTTTTAATTTTTATGCAATTAATCATTTTTATTATTTCATGGTTAATGCTTTGTGCACTGTTTCACAAAATCATTGCCTTACCCAAAGGCATAACAATTGTTCCCCAAGTTTTCTTTTGGAAGTTTAGGTCTATGATCCATTTCAAATTAATCTTTGCATATGGTATGAAATAAGGGTCTAGGTACTTAAATAAGATTAAAGGTTTGTTTTTGTTTTGTTTATGGACAGCCAACTGTTTCAGCATCATTTGTTGAAAGATTTTCCTTTCTCCATTAAAATCCTTTGATACCTTTGGAAAATCAGCTGGTCATTTATGTGGGTCTACTAGACTCTCTATTCTGTGCTACTGAGCTATACTTTTATCTACATTGCAATACCACACTATCTTCATTACTATAGCTTTATGTTAATTTTTTGTGTAACTGGGGATTAAACCTTGGGGTGCTCTATTATTAAGCTACACCCCCAGCCCTTTTAATTTTTATTTTAAGACAGGGTCTTACTAAGTTGCTGAGGCTGGCCTTGAATTTGCATCCTCCTGCCTCAGCCTCCCAAGTAGCTGGAATTAAAAGTATTCACCATCACACCAGGCCTTTAAAAAGCTAATTCTTGACATAAGAAAATCCTTCAAATTTTTTTACTTTAAAAATTGTTTGTTCTATGAATTCTGCAATTTCATATAAACATTAGAAGCAGCATACAAATTTCTACAAAAAGGCTGCTCTGGGTTTGATTATCCATTTGGGGAAAATCAACATTTGAATATCTTATATCTTCTGACTCACAAACACATTCATTCTCTCTGACCCATAAGTCTTTAATTTCATTCAGCAATATTTTGTAGTTCTTGATGTTCAGACCTTAAAGATTGTTATATTTTCTTAATTCCAATATCCAAATGATCATTGTTAGTGTACAGAAACATAAATGCTTTTGTAAACTGGCTTTGTATGCTACATACTTGCTACAACTCTGTATGTCCTTTTTTTGTGTGTGTGTGGGGGGGTAGGGGGCTTGGGAGAGAGTACCTGGGATTGGACTCAGGGGCACTAAACCACTGAGCAAATCCCCAGCATCCCAGATCCTTATTTTGTATTTTATTTAGAAACAGGGTCTTACCAAGTTGCTTAGCACCTTGCTGTTGCTGAGGCTGGCTTTGAACTCACAATCCTCCTGTCTCAGCCTCTGGAGCCACTGGGATTATAGGCGTGTGCCACCGTGCCTGGCTGTCCTTCTTTTTCTTGTGTTACTGTACCGCTAGGTTCATCAGTGCACTATAAATAGTGGCAACAGTGGTCACCCTGTCTTGCTATAATCTTAGAAGGAAGGTGGTCAGGCTTTCATTGTTAGGTATGACATGGGTGGGATTTTTGATTGCTCTTCCTTTTTCTTAATCTGGTAAAGGGCATTCCTACAGCATGTCCCTCCCCACTTTAAAGTTACCTCCTAGTAGGACTAGGACAGGAAAGGGTTCTTACTACAAATAGATGTTGAACTCTGCCAAGTCTGGCAATGTGCCAGAAGTGAGTTTTAATCTTTTACTTTAGATACAGAATCAGACCCAGAACTGGGATTCAGAGTGAGCCAGTTCAGTCAATTTACAGGTGAGTAGACTAAGGTTCTGAGAGGTGAAAAGACAGACATGTTCAAAGTGACTGCTAGGTTAGAAGGAGAAGGTAGGTCAATGCTTACACTTCTATACACCTTCTAGAAGATCTGTGAATTTTGTATGGGTATATGGACTAATAAAAATGAGCTAAAGTAACATGTAAGCACTGAGACAAGAGAAAATATAGAGATCTGACCTCTTTGCAGTTTCTGAGAAAGGGCAAAGGACAATGGCAGATTTTAAGTGAGGCATTAGGTTTCCGGTTCAAGTGGTAATATCTACTGTCAACTACGTGTGTGTGCAAACAGCCAAGATTCATCACTCACTTATTGCTAACAGTTACTCCTTATGAACCATGAGAAAACAGGGACTCTGAAAATTTTCAAATACCACATCAATTTGATAGCATTGCTTTGTCAAGCCAGATTTGAATTTTTGACTAGTTTCTGAAAACTGGATTCTTTTTATTAAGTTAAAATAGTCCAAAAATTTCTCAAAACGACGTTAAAAACCAAAGAGCTGACCTGGGAGGCGAGGGTGGTGCTGGGCTGCGGCTGCAGGAGGCTGGCTTGGCTCTGCTGAGGTAGCTGTGTTAGAAGGCTCTGCGCTTGCAGGAGACCTGGCAAACACGGACATGTTACACAGGATCACTAACGAGCACTGTGAACACACAGCAAAAGAAAGAACGGGGATGTGAACTGAAAACTTCTAACCAATCTTCTAATAGTCAAACTCGTCCTGTTTGTCTAAAATTCAATCTTGTTAAATACAAACTGGGCAAGTAGAAATAAACATGAATGTACGTGCCTTTAGTGTAACCAGAATAAGTTCTCTGATAAGCCAATTCTTTATTTTAGCAAGGAATGGATGAAAATGTAGAGTTATTCCAAATGGAAGCAGTTGAAAATTCTAACAAGAGCTCCTCCTCTTACTCCCGCATCTGTTAGAATCTGCCAGTACCAGAGAAATATCCAGTTCATGAAAGAACCAGGCTATTCTTTAAGTGGGAAAAAGATGCTGCTTTTAAGTTCTCTTTAACAAACATTTGCCTTCTGGCGATAATAAGGTGGAAATGTAAACTCTAAACTCTATCTGATAGATGGGTGTGGTGTCATATACTTGTTATTCCAACTACTGGGGAGGCTGAGGCAGGATCCCATGAGTGCAGAGTTCATAAGAGACTGCGCAAAAGGGAAAAAATAGCAATAGCAGCAATACTACACGGTGACAACTGACTCCTGAGGAGAAATGTGAGTCCCAATGTGTTCATAGTAATGCTCAGAGGAGCACCTGAGTCTAGGATTTGTTACTTTCACAACCTTGTCAAGAAAGAACCAACCCAAAAGCTATTTTGTCCATCTACAACTAAAATATTAAAAAAATAAAGAACCAACCCACGATACTTGTATTCAAAGATTTAATATGGGTACATAGTTTTAAGTATAATGCTATTGCTAAAATACTAAATTTAGGATGATCTATAAGAGCAGTGGTAGGAATTCTCCAAAATGGTACATCAAACAAAGCCATTAAATATATATATATTATATATATATTATATAACATATATACATATTATATAATATATATATTATATTATATTATATATATGAGATAAGATTAGCTGGGAGCAACAAAATCTTCCTAATTAGGATTTTCTAGGCTACTGAATTTGGAAGTACTGAATGTTGAAAAACTACATTCTATGACAATGATTAAAGGCAACCTGGTAAATAAAATTATTTATAAAAGAAAATTAATTATCAAGAAAATAAAAAAAATAGTGATAATAAATAAAACAGAAGAAAGCATGAAGGTCAGAAATCAGACCCCATTATTAAACTTAGGCATTTCAACATGTGAGTGTCTTTAGTTTGGCAATGAAATTTAGATTTTTGTTACTTATTCAAAAAAGAATATATTTCCAAAATGATTCTTATTCAATCATAAACTATAATCCCAAATGATTCATTTTGGTTGCTAGTAGCATGTTCTATGAATAAATTCAAACCATACATCTTTTTTCTTCCAAATGAGCACAGCTAAAAATGCTAGAAGGGCCCACAGAGGTTTAAAATTTACCTGAGGACCAACACTTGCCACCTCCCCCAACCTCAAAGAGTCAAACAAATGAAACACAAATGTATTCAACAGTTTCCCAAGAGGAACATTTCTTTGATACTTTTGGAATAAATGGAGAGAGCAGAAAAGGCAGTAGAAAGGTTAAGAGTAGAGATTTCCAATATACCAGGCCTGGTGGCTTGCACCTGTAATCCTAGCAACTTGGAAGGCTAAGGCAGTAGGGTCCAAGTTTGAGGCCAGCCTTGGCAACTTAGCAGGGCCCTGTCTCAAAATAAAAAAAATAAATAAATAAAAAGGCTTGGGGATGTAGCTTGGTGATTAAGCACCCCTGGGTTCAGTTCCTAGTACCAAAAAACAAACAGAAAATCCTCCAATAAATTGTAACTCAAGTTTGGAAATGTATTAGTAAGAATTTTCTTAAGAAAATCTAAGAAAAATAATAATAAAAATAATTCTGGAAAATGGTTTAGATTTCCCTCCCTTGTCAGAAATTAAATCTTATACAGTTATATAACAGCAATATTGCCAAAAGTACGAACTATATTTCAAAAGTTCTGGATTAATAAATGAAAGGAAAAAAATCAGAAGAAATGGATATTTCAGGCTAATCTCATTCTGGAAATGATTATTAAAATCCCTACAAACTAAATCTGTCCCCTTCAACACTAATAGTTAAAAGTAAGAGCTGTTCAGATATTCAGTGCTCCTGGTGCTGCTGACCACAATGGATTCCACTCAGGAAAGCCTAACACCCCCACCCCCACCCCCACTCCCACCCGCACTCCGTTCTGACCCTGCATGCTGCAAGTCAGCCATCTTGGAGAACCAGCATGACTTGGCAGCAATGGCACCCTCAGACTCAGGCTACTTTTGAGCTGGTCTTTACTGTTCAAGGAGCTGTCAGCTTCCGAAATAAATGACAAGGTTTGATGGCGACAGCAGCCCAGACCCAGAGGTTTCCATCTATGAGGTTCCTTTAGCAAAGTGCCTCAGTGCATTTACTCACCAGCCCTCTGCAACCCTTGGGTACAGGCTGACAGTATCCTCTTGTTGCAGGGGAGGGGACTAAGGCACCCAGGCAATGAGGCAGAGCCCAGATTCAGAGAGCAGCAGTGTGCCTTTGGAGTCTGTGCTCTTAACTACTATGTTACAATGACATTCCTGACATTGGTCAAACATTCTTCAAAACAGACCCATTTAAAGGGAAAGATGAAAAGGAAACACATGAAACTCAAGAAATGGTAGGTGACTTGTCCAATGTCACTGGCTCTAAAGCCAATCAGCCTTCCACTGTCTGCACTCCTTCCCAATCTAAGGTTTGGAGGGAAGAGGCTGCGAACATAGATAACCTTGGCAAATAAAAAACAGGAAAATGAATACTCATTTGTTATCGCAACTATATTAAGGTGAATTTTATTCTTTTAAATAAATAAAATGCAGTCCCAGATTTGAAAGAGGAAAGACAGCGCTCTTGGATTCGCCGAGAGTCAACGACAGCGCTCTCACTCAAACCTGAAGCTTCAAAAGTTTCCATGTCTAAAACATGTGCACTTCTGTCTTGACCTTCCAAGGTCTCCCTGCTCCAGACTGTTCCTCCTTCCCTGTAGGAATTCCCTTCCATTGGGATTACGACTCTTCACCAGCTCTGACTTCTAATTCTTCCTACAACTGAAGAGTTGGTTTTACCAACACTCTTCCACTAGTTTAGCCCTCACCGAACCTCAGTAGGACCATCGCAATGTTCTCCTAATTGGTATTACTCTGTTCTTATCCATTCTAATTTTTCTTCTCCAAGTTTCGGCATGAGCTTTTTAAATACAAAATATGATATGCCACTTTTTGCTTAAAGCTTCTGCAGTTTTGTATAACCTACAGAAGATTTCTTTATTGGAAGGTATTGGCCCATTCACATTAGACTCCCCAAATTGCTGGTTAAAATTCTGGGTGTGGGGCTCAGATATCTATTTTTCTAATTCTTCAAGTGACTAGCAAAAAAAAAAAAAAAGGAACCTTGGGAAGAATTAAGCTATTAGATTTAAGGTCAAGCTCCTGGGTACCATGTTAGTTTCTTGAATGATCTGGTTGGTCTCTCTTAATCTTTCTGTCCTTAAGTTTCATTATTATTCAAACATGCAACTTATGGTTTTTTAAGGCATTACTTAACAGTTCTTGAACACAGCATATGAATTTTCCTCCATGTCTTTGAGCTTTGCAAAGCTGTTCACCTCCTCTTTGTCATCCTGTGCATGCCACGCCTTATCCCATCTCTGAAGGCTGCTATGGGAACAAAGATATGGAGGTCTCTCCGCTCAGCTCCTGCTGCATTCTGTGTACATACGTTCTAACACTCATAACAGTTCTGTTTCTCTTCCACTAGACTGTGAGCTCTTTGAAAGTAAAAACTGGCTTATCCCTCTTTTAATTTTGAACATATGCTAAAATAGGTATTTACACAACAAAAGATTTTGGAATGACCAAGAAAAAAGGCAAAAATCAAACCAAAACAAATGCTCCAGAGATAATGAAGAACTGATACTTGATCAGTACATATTGTATACATGTGTATAAATATTACACTGTACCACATAAATACGTACAATTATTTGATCATTATGCACTGTACACTGTACCAGTTATCACATTGTACTCCATAAATATGTACAATTAAAATAATATCTTAAAACATTAGTAGAGGGGCTGGGGTTGTAACTCAGTGGTACAGCATGGGTGAGGCACTGGTTTCGATCCTCAGCACCAAATAAAAATAAAGGTGTATTGTGTCCATCTACAGCTTAAAAAATATTTTTAAAAAATCAGTAGAAATGCACAAATGTTTTTGGGTTGAGCTCTTGATACCCTGATGTTTTCTACACCGATAACGTGAACCAGTCCTTACAAACATGACTGAACTTTTTTTTACTGTTTGATACAGTAATTATACAACAATATGTATTACATAAAGGGTTTTTTTTTTTTAGTATTCAGGAGTGAACCCAGGGCCTTGTGCATGTTAGGCAAGTGCTCTACTGCTGAGCTACATCTCAAGCCTTAATTTTTTTTTGAGACAGGGTGTTGCTAAGCTGCCCAGGCTGGCCTTACACCTGCACTTCTGCTGCCTTCGGGTTCCAGCAGGTACACACGGCTGTGCCCAGCTCAAAGACATTCTTTAACCACTCACAGAATGTGGGCAGTTTTTAATACAGCACCCTTTCCTTCTTTAAAAGAAACTAAGTTAGAAGCATATACTTTCAAGGCTTCGTATACAGCCTTTGAATACATTCCCATGATGAACTATGGAAGCAATAAAAGCAATTTATCCAATTTGTATTTGGCATGCTGAGTGGTTTCATTTAGACATTTGGCCAAAGCCTTGGTTCCTCTTTAGTGATGAAATGTTGACAAGGGAGGCAACCTTCAAAAATGGGGTGTATATGACCAATAAGAAAAAAAGAAAAAAAGCGTATCTTTCTTTACACACATAATGATATTTTAAAATCAATATTCATGAAAACCATTGTCCTAATGGCCAGCTGTAGTGTGAAAATGACACCCAGTGTGCGTGTCACATTAAGCGGACAACCTTGGGGTGCCACTCAGGCCTAAGGAGAATCTCACCCTGCTGGCCCTGGGGAGTCTGTGAGATGATAAACTGCGCTGGTTGCAAGTTGGTGGTCGGGTGAACCAACACAAACTGTTGCAGGTTGAGATTCTGCTGTTGTAGCTGTTGCAGCTGTTGCAGATCCTGAAAAATCAGAATTAAACATGGAATGGAAATTCTGAAACCAACGTTCTCTTAATCCTAAGTTTCCCAGCCGACGACTTCTGTCACTCCACCTAGAGAAGAGTCAACATCTAGCATTATTTCATGTCCCAATGGTGTGTGCCATGAATATGCTTCACGCAGCATGGAAAGACACTGGGGCTTCCTAAGACCTTACTATTTCTGTGGACATACAGAGATTATGCTCAGCCTGATTTTCGAATGATATAAAATCGTCTCTGAACCAATGGTTACAGTTCTATTTCTTAATGTATAGAGACCAACATGGGTTTTAAAACTCCCATTTTGTGACAAAACAGCTTTTAAACATGACTCATTTTGTTCTTGTTAAGAAAAATTGAGTGTTATGTCTGAATTTCAGACAATAAACTAAGATCAATGACTCATGAAATTTGACACCAGTTTATCTAACTCAACTGAGAAATCAGGGTTAAATTACTAAAAAGAGAAAAATAGCTATCCCTACAAAAATCTGGTCCATAGCATAACAATAGCCTTGGTGGTCTCTAAGGTCTTGTGGCTATCAGACTGCTTTCAGACACATTGCCTTGCCCAGACTCATGTCAACACACAAAGCTTGGTGATGAAGAAAGCAACCCAAACTGAAATACTATCTTGATAAAGAAAGACTGCACAAAGAGTAATAAAGGTTAGCCTGACATCATTTTTTAAACATCTAGTCAAACTCTTGCAACAATTTAAGTCTACTATTGAGTCTTCTCTGGGGGGTAAAGGTAATTGTCCAGAATTAGACTTATAACTCTTCGTATATTTTACTCATTGAATGAAAGTTCACCTTTTTCCTCTTTGTGAGATAAAAGATTTATTTTCCTCCTTGGTCCTACTGTCTATGCCTCTTAAATAATTTCTTTAATTGTATTTGGATTCTTCACCCTAAAATGAGAAAAATCAGCCAAATAACACTGTACTGTGATTCTCCACAGTGCTAATCGCTCCAGAGCAGAGATGCCTTGCTGTCTCCCACACATGGTGGCCGTTCACTGCCAGCACGTGAAGAAGCATGCCTGCTGCAATTAGCTAATTAAGATAAACGCAGTAATCCCCTGCCTCAGAAATTCACCAGCTGCTTATTCAAGATCATCGCTTATATAAACAGTCAGTTATTCAAATAATCTGCTATGTGTTTATAACACCAACTCAAACAAGCAAACAAATGAATTATTGTGAACTCAGCAGTAAGAAAGAACTCTGTTAACTCACTATCTGGAGTTCCACACCAACCATCATAAAGCTAAGTGGACACTAAATAAAACCCACCACTTCCTCCTCGCTCACCTGTGCGATCTGGATGGGCTGAGACAGGGGGATCTGAGTCATAGGCGTGGCAGCAGAGGCGGAGATGGTAGCACCAGCAGCGCTGTGCTGCTGGCTGGCGGAGTGCTGCTGCACAGCTGCGGCCAGTAGTTGGGCCTGGGCTTGGGCCTGCTGCAGCAGCAGCTGCTGCTGGGCTGGTGTCAAGGTGAGCTGTGTGGACCAGAGCAGACAGGGTGTGGGTTGAAGAAGCTGGCCTCCTACAGGACAACTGCTCTAAGTAAGTGACTCAAGTGGTGCCTGGCCCTAGTTACCCAACTTCACAATCAGCACTGCAGCTAAAATGTTTACTAGTGATTAAATGACCATTACTAGCAGAACATTTGAATTAAAATGGTAGTTCTCACTCCGGACTTAATCATTCAAGCTTGCCCAGGGCTCTAGAGTTCAGGCAAGAAAGTAATTAACTAGTAAGCAAGGGAAAAAAAAAAAGAATAAATGCTGACAGGATATGAAAAGAAATTTACACCCAACAGAACAGCAAGTGATGAGTCAGATGAATGAGGAACAGGGATGCTGGATACTACCAGGAAAAGAACTGATAAGGCCCAGCTGCCTCCCCCTGGCACAAACCCCACCATATTCTAGCATTCCCATTATGTCCTAAGATGTGACTAAAGACTATGAGGCCATTTGCTTCTTTTCTAAATCTCCCTACAGGCCCCTCTCTCACACAATCTTTTCTGTGTTGAAAGCACTGAATCTCTGCAACTTTACATCCCCTTCCAACATATTATCTCTGTGAAATAGGTGGTGACAACCACTTTCTTTACATGCAAATGAACCTTAATGCCCAGGTTTAATAGAAACTCCAGCCACAAGAACCTGGAATCTCAAGTGCCTCTTACTATTGTAGACACCAGTCACCAAAAAGCTGCATATGGTAAAGTGGGAAATGTATATAGACCCGATTTACACTTGCTTTCGTAAAGCAACTTATTTAAAATAAGCTTAAATCCAAGTTGCAAGTCTACAGAACTGCCATTTTGGAAACATTTCTAATTAAAAAAATAAGAAATCATGTAATATTCTGAAGTGCATTAAGAGTCACTTAGAGGCACAACCCTCCTTCTAAAAGGTTCTAACACAATCTGTGCATTATAAACAAGAATCAGCTAAGCATGGCGATGCAAGCCTGTAATCCCAGCAACTCCAGAGGCTAAGGCAGGATAGTACCAAGTCTGAGGACAGCCTGGTCAACTTTGCAAGACCCTGTTCCAAAATTAAATAAAAAAGGTGGAGGATGGGAGGGAGCAGGGGGAAGGTCTGGGATGGAACTCAGTGGCTCAATCTCCAGTACCAAAAACCAAAACACAAAACCCCCATATGAATAAAAATGAAACTACTCATTACCTAGATGCATATATATATATATATATATATACAGATATATGCATGCATCTTTTTATTCTGAGGTTTGATGTGATATAAATGATGTCTTAAAGAAAACTGGAAATTTACTGCAGTCACATAGGCCAATTTGTTACCAGTAAAAATAAATTTACTGAACGTTATGTGCCAAGCACGGTTTTATGAGCTTTACATATATCATCTCTAATCCTTATAACAGTATTGGAATAGGTATTACCGACATCTCCATTTTACAGGAGGAAAACTGAGGTTCAGGGAGATGTCAGGGAGTAGTCAGCCCAGGCAGTATGCTGCAGAGCCTGGTATGAGACCATGTATTTTAGAACATTACTCAGTCACTTAGGAGAAAACGTTTCCTTTTGTTGGTACTAATCCACTCTTGAACTTCTATCCTGCAGTGACGTCGTGATTCTAAACTGATAACTGCCACTTAGCCAATATAATGAATGGTCTCGACACGACTCCATCTCATGATGAAGGAACACCTGAACATGGGTTTAGAAACTCCTCAGGTTATCTGCAACTGTAACAAAAGACATCCTGAAATCCTGTGACAAAGGTGAGTCCTTTTTCAGAGCTGTCTGCAGCACTGGTAATTCCTTAGACACAACAATGCCATGTTCAGTAAACAGTGCTGATCGGATGTTGGCTGATGGCACCTGTGACACAGGGGGAGTTTATTAAGATGTTCTCAGTGGAAACTTACCCCAGTTATCTGTCCTCCAGCAAGCATGAGCTGGGTCTGGGGGATGGCCGCCTGCACGGAAGGCTGCGGGGAAGGCTGGCTTGGCTGTTGAGAGTCCCCTGACTCTTCATTAGATTTAGACTGAGGTAGGAAGGATAGGAAATGAAAGATTACAACAGTTTTTTAAAAGAAATGTATTAGTAACTCCATATTTTAAGAATCATTTAAAATATGTGTTATTTGATGATGAATTCTCTATTTTCTTTTTCTTTCTTATTCACTTATATCTTCCTGGTTTTGCATATAAGTTTTTAGTTTTTATTCTAGTGCCAGCAATGTTGCAATTATAATTTTTAAAAATAAAAAATAAATTGATCCTCCACTTATCAAAAGAAAATTTTACAACAGCAAATCCTTATCCGTTTCTGTGTCAGACCCTCCATACTAACATCCTGACACAGACTTGGCAGTCTGGAGCTTCTTCATAGGCCACCTTAGGGGCTCACTGTTCGACCCAGAGGGTTTCTCCTGTACTATTTTAAATGACCTGTAAATCTAGCATCTTCGTCAAGCTTGAGGGGAAATACTACAGTCAAGAAAGAGCACACACTCCTGAAAGGGGCACAGAGAGAAAATTTTATGGTAATTAAAACTGGTTATGCAGAGCATTAAAATTCTGCATAGATTTGCATATTTCCCACCACCTGTTTTGGGGACTGCAGCAGGGCTAATTAACATAAAAGCTCTGATTAATTCTGCCAGTCATTGAAAGATAATTACAGTGCAGGACTGTAAACATTCTGCACTGGAGATACAGCCTGTTTGCCAACATCCCTCTAAGGGATGAAAGTTTACCATGGCAACCAAGGCAATTTTCTACCTCCTCTCCCTCAGAAAGGAAGATCACATTATCTCCTTTTCTTTTCTCTCCTTGTTTCCATGTGTTACAAGGTCCATATTCCACTGGGTTTCATGGAATGCTCAACCCAAGGTCTTTAGTCACTAGCAACACTGAAATCAATCCACCACAGTACTGTTGCTACCTCTTGACTGCTAGTCACCCAACACTATAATGAAAAGCCGAAGGAGGGGTGCATGACACCTGATTTCTGCACGCTCTGCCACATACCACGTGTTCACATGTGCAAACTTACAAGATTTAAGTTTTGCTTTAAATTTTTGTCTATCTACACACCAACATCCATAAACAGGTTTAGTTACAATTCTTAGAAGCATAACATTTAGAGTAGAGAGGAACTCTGGCAATCTTACAAATATCCACATTTCAATGAAGATAAAGGAAAAAAAAACTGGGTCCCATCAAGTAACAAGACTTGCTAAAAGTCACACAGTTAGTTCACACCTAAGACTTCCACAATTCTCAGTCCAGGGCTCTCTGCATTGTTTTCCTGAGACATGAAAAATGAAAGTAAAAAGATCTTTGGAAACAAAAGAGCATTTAAGAGATTATATGGCTTAGTGATTAGATATGTGTACAGTGTGACTTAGAAACATTTTACTGAACTTACATATAAAACTTGGAAGGCAGACTTTTCTCATCCACCTTTGATTCATGCATAGAATATAAAACTGATTTTCATGAATGGCAATAATTATCATTTGTATCTTTATGATGTTCAGTAATAAAAATATAGAAATAAATAATAAGAAAATTTAAAAATGATAAATAGTAATACTTTTGTTTCCTATTATAAAATTATTATGTACTCATTATAGAAAACTTTGGGAAAAAATAAATGGAAAAAGTGACCCATTATCTCATGTCCCAGCTTACCTGTACATTTAAAGACTGAGCAGCAGCCTGTAAACTTGTTCCAGCGAGCTGGACCTATAAGTAAAGTAATAAAGGGAGGTTCTAGGCCAATACTGTTGGCATTCATCACCAGAGGTGTCCTCAACACTTTATAAGACTCTCCATTGAAGGCGTGTGGCTGAGAGAGAAGGTAAGTACAATGAGCTCATCTTACTGGGTGAAGACGTCATGGGAAAGTTCACAGTCCCCATCTCCACTAAAAGATGCTGCTGATTTTTTCTGAAGCTGTTTTCACCCTAAATGAGTATCACAGGGTTTTACATCTGTACAGGATGTGCCTACTTAACATGTCTGTATTTACAGGATGCCTAGATCCTGAGCACTTAATTCATCTTCCACGTATGTTAAAGAACACATAAGAATAAGCTCCCTAACATATTAGTTTATCATTAAAAATGAGAACCATATACTTCTTTCATAATTTCCACGTATACAGAGTAAAACTTTCTTTTAAATCTTTTTATTTGTTTTAATTAGTTATACATGACAGTAGAAGGCACTTATGCACTTTGATAGATCATACATAGCAGAGTAAAACTTTCATATATGCACACCAACACAGGTAAATCCTTAAAATATTTAGCATCATAACTTAAAATTTCTAGCTAAAATAATCTGTCCTATAAACCACATATGAAAGTTTGTCATAATATTTACATTTCACACATTCAGAAAGTTCAAAATCACGGTTATGTTGAAATATGGGTATAGAGCCAGTCTACTCCCAGCAGCTCAGGAGGCTGAGGCAGGAGAGGCAGGAGAGTTTAAGACCAGCCTCAGCAAAAGGGAGGGGGGCTAAGCAACTCAGTGAGACCCTGTCTCTAAAAAAAATACAAAATAGGGCTGGGGATGTAGCTCAGTGGTCAAGTGCCCCTGAGTTCAATTCCCGATACCTGCCACCCCATCCCACCCACTCCCCCCCCACCCCCCACCCCCGTGCGTGCACGCACACGCACACGCACACACACAAACAAAGAATATGGATACACACACAAGGAATTAGACAGCCATTGTCTGGCAATTGTGAAAACTGTCTCAGGCAGGAGTCATCACTGGATGATCAACTACGGACAAGATTTGAGGAGTAACAGGAAATTGACAAGGTCTCAACTCTTTCTCCCCAAGTGCTAATGACAAGGGCAAACTCATACCTTTACAGAGGGCTGTGGGCAGCAGTGACCAAGCAAGCACAGAGCTGTCAGCAAGGATACTTGTGCCTCCTGCTAGGATGCACTGTGAGGAGCACACACTCCCTGCATGGTAGGGAGAGAAAGGAGCACAAGAGTGCTCCCACCAAACGAGGATTCTGGCAAGGGACTGTACACTGGAGGAACAGAGCATCATGAATCACTCCAGGGCTCAAACCTGAGAGACTGGGAAATGGCTGTGTCACCAACAGGGAAGGCAGGGGTTCCACTCTGGATATACCACAGAGCATTAAGATGTTCTGGAGTTAATCTAAGCCTGGATATGGAGCTCGTGGAGTGAAGCGCTAAAATTCACTGACCGCTAAATCCTTTATTTGAAATGATTCTACTAACAGTGCTGTTAGTAAAGACTCCCCCAAAGGAAACAAAAACAGAAACTCCCCCTGCCGAGATGTATGGAGAACACATTTTAGATCCACTGGACTCAAAGAGACCAACCTGAAGAGAGAATGTTTACAGCATGCAGCCCAGGAGAGGCGAGCCCCAGCAGAGGAGGGGTTTCAACACAGAGGTTTAAAGGAGATCAAGTTCTATGTGACTTTATTTAAACCATGATGTGATGCTCCTGGGCTAACACTTGTTGAGAAACAGGATATTTATGCAGTCTTGCAGAATCACTCCACAGATTATTAGTTACAAGGAGGAAACAGTGACTTACAGTGGATCAATCGGACAAACAGACCTTAGTTGAATGATCAAAATTAGTATTACAAAAATAGGACAAGGCAATATCCTATGCCTTTGGATACAATGTTTAGGAGTGTTTCTTTCAAAACCACTCCAGTCATGAGAGAACAAACAAACCCAAATGAGAGGTATTCTATAAAATAGCTGGCCTTTCTCTACTCTTCAAAATTGTCAGTATCATGAAAGATATAGAGGCTGAGGAATTGTTCTGAACAAATGTGAAGACTAAACACAAAGTACGGACTGGATCGTGGACAGAAAATCTTTAAATAGCAACCATATATTAGAAAATAGTCTCATATCAGTGCTGAACTTCTGAAATTTGAATTGTAGTTTTTAACATAATGTTGTTTATAGGAAAAGCATATTTAAGTGTTTATAAGCAATCAGCCACAATGCCTGCAATGTACTCTCAAGTGATTTGAGGAAAAAAATTCACATTTTCTATGTGTATATATGTACACACACACAAACACAAAGAGCAATAAAGTAAATACGGTAAAGCAGCAACCACTGGTGGTTTCAGACAAATATTGTTCTACTGCAATTGTGTAGATTTGAAAGTTTTCAAAACAGAAGGATAAAATAAAAAAGAGAGCTTCCCTTTAACACTTGATTTTGCTAGTTTCTCACATTTTTCTAGGCTCAGCTGAAAAGGACATTTCTTTGGCTTCCATCCTTTTTCTAGGAGGCATTGGAGGGTCTGTGACCTTGGAGGCCCCAGAGCTGGTTCAAGGTTTGCAACCATCTTAGAATCCAGACCAAGGGGAAAAGACTGCATGCCGTCCATGTACCTCCACCAACTGTTAAAACTGTACACATGGACCATGCTATGGCTTGGATGCTATATGTACCCCCAAAGGACCATCCATGTGTTGAAAGGTTGGGACCTAGTGGAACAAAGCTAGGTCACTGAGGGCATGCTGTCAAGGGGGATATTAGGACCTTGGCCCCTTCCTAACTCTCTTTGCATCTTGGTCATCCTTTGGTGTGTGGCTTTGCTCCACCAAACATTCCTTACTATAATGCTCTGCTGTATCACTGGCCCAAAGCAACCGGGCCAAGCAACCATGGACTAAACTTCTGAAATTGTGAGCTAAAATAAATCTTTCCTTCATTAGTTAATTTTGCTCAGGAGTTCTGTCACAGTTACAGAAACCTGATTAATATAGAGTGACATACATAGAAGCCAATAAAAGATGCTTTCTATGTACAACATAATTAACTACATGCATAAAAAATGTGACTCCCTTTAATGGCAGAGAACTTGTTGGAAGTTTAAATATGTTCTTAGAAGAAAATAAACATGATAACATTTTTATAGATTATGTTACGTTTCTCTGATTCAAAGATGCAGCTGTCCCTCCTATCCACAGGTAATACATTCCAATGTTGCCCCCTCACTGATGTTTGAAACTGCAGATAACACCAGACCTGTGTATACTAGAATTTTTCTACAGAGAGATAGCTACAATAAAGCTTAATTTACAAATTAGGCCAGTAAGAGATTAGCAAAAAAATTAGAAACAAAATAGAGCAATTAAAACAACGTACTGCAACACACATCATTCGAAACTTGTGAACTGTTTCTGGAATTTCCATCATGGATAACAGAGACTGTGGGTGGGTAGGGGGCACAGCACAGACAAAGCCATGTGGCTGAGCACAGCATGGACAAGGCTTGGCTCTAGAGAAGCAGCTGGCTGTTGCCAACAACCCCCTCTGCATCTGTAGACAAATCACAGGCTTTGGAGTAGCTTTCCTGAATTTCATCTGTTTTCAAGTAGAGAAAAACTTCTTTTACAGTTTAGATAGTCTTATAGTGTATTTTTATGAGAAGAGTAGAGCAGCATGATATGCATCCATTCACAGCAACTTAACATGAGAATACACAGCCTGGGAGGGTTCATGTGGGCTTGTCACTGAGTTGCCACCCCCATTAGGCATACTGTTACCAGCATCGCTACTAGCAAATACAATGTAAGCATTAAATTAATTCTAGGTTTTGAGGAGAAACCACTAACATGTGAAGTGTGTTTCTTAATACATAATTGTGAACATAAATCAAGAAGTGGGATGCTCTGATCATATACCTCCTAACTGTTTTCACTGCTAGCTTTCCACTGTCAATCAGCTCTCATATCCCAAAACTCTTAGGTGGCCAATGTTTGTTTTGTGCTCTCTTCCCCTTTACATTATAGCTATAACACAATGAAGAGAATCCACGGTCTGTTTTAGACTCATGAAAAAAAAAATCCTCTGGTGTCTGGGTAATAAAGCTGAGGCAGGTCTTTTTAAACCTCAAGCTAGGTGGTCACAGTCGAGCAAAAGGCTCTTGAGTAGTTGCCTGAAATCAAAAGGTTGGAAGCTGTTTCAAAGAAGGGATAGGAGCACTGCACCCAGAGCCCTATACCGGAGGTCACAGGCAGCAGTAATTTTGCCATTTTGGAGAACTGACTTCAGTAGGCCACCACAAACCCACATCATGCTCAGAATCTAGACCCAATGATCCAGATATCACAGACATTCCATTCAACAAGAAATCCCCCCAGCCCCCGCCTGTGGCCTTAATGGCTATCCAGTCAACTAAGTGTACTGATTCCATGCTGACCATTTGGATGACACAATTAGATGTGATCAGTATAGGGTTTACTTAATTTTAAAAGTCTCACATTCTGAAAAAACTTCCCCAGGCCCTAGCACTTCAGGTCTCCATCTTTTACTCTCACTTATGGTTGAGCAGAACATTCTACCTGATGGAGATGTCCAAGGAAAGCCTGGGCCTGGGCTGTTGAGATTGCTCCTCCAACAGGCACAGGCTGCTTCTGGAAGTCCAGACCATTGGTTTGTGTGCCTGGAAAGCAAGCGAAATGATTAGAACTACTACAAGAAAAATATCAGATTGAAGAGAGTATCAGACTTCAGTTACCAATGTAACTGAATGTTCACTAGGAACTCACTTTGCATAAGCACTTTTGAAATACCTCCAAGGAGAAGACGGGAATAAAAAAAAAAAAAAGAAAATAAAATATAGTAAAATGGTTTCTCTTCAGAATATAGGACTACAAGACAAGTATGTAACATAAACAATGAATTATAGCCATTATGTGGCACTATATCATTCTCACTATTGTAAAGAATGGTAGAGACAGAGTTCCAAAAGAGGCACCAAGCCTCTCTTCTACTCTCATCATACTTGATATTTGGCTTGGACAAAAGAAAAGCACTATGACTTTGCAAGAGCAAGGAGTTACTATTGATTTAAACCGTTTACTGAATGACGCCTCTGATGGCAAAAGAAGTTCTTTATCCAGTAAGCATAATGAAAACAAAATAGTTGTACTGATTTCTCCAATTCCAAAGTATGGATTACTCCATACGGTATCCCCCAACCCCACACCCACCCCAGGGATCCAATCCAGGGCCTCATGCATGCCAGGCAAACACTCCAATCACTGACCTACATCCTAGCCAACTATACACATCTATTAGCAAGGGCTCTGCTCTAATTATATTTTTCAAAATGTTTTGCCAGTGCTTTTTAAAAATCTCTTACGCTGTGATTTCATGTTGGAACAGAACTGATTTTATGGAAGGACATGGCACCCTAACACCCAGAAATATTTTTTCAGGAATATAATACATTGTTTTCAAACTCCTATATCCAGTTATTATTTTTAAAAAGCCAGAATACTTTGTACTGAATAAAGTATAACTAACCAGGAGCCTCCAAAGTCTTCTGGTACGAGGACATTACCTACAACTCCCACACCTCACCTTCCTACCCGTGCACAATGTGGCCACGCCCTGGGCAGGCAGCAGAACAGAGCCAGAACCCGACTGCATCACTGTTAGGAGCTCTCATTTTTGCCACCACACACCCTAACTGCAAAACCTGGAAGAGCTATTGGAGGTCTCCTTAAGATAATCACAAGAGAAATGTTTTTCACTTCCTGAAAAACTCACGGATCATTTCTTGTGATTTTTCTTTCCTAAAGTCTCCCACTTTGGGAAACTTTAGGACTACCTAGACACAAAACAGTTAATGCACTTAAGAGTACAATTGTGTCAATTAATTAGAAACTAGCATGAAATAAATTTTAAAGTAATTAGAGTCACTTCCATAGCCAAATCCAGAAGTTTTACTATTTTAAAGTTGTGTTTTGTCATTAATTGCTGCTTTTCTCTCTATGCAGGAAATCATTACCTACATGAAGATTTTAAGTTGTACACCATAAGATTATTTAGTCAATCATAACTCAGCAAAACTGGGAGAAAAGACTGTGTACTTTTGGAGAAATCTGCTCAAAACATACTAAATAAGCCAACATGGCTAAAAGATGAGATCAGGAAAACCAGAGCACTTAGAGATTCATTTCAATGAGAAGTCTTCCAGAGCTAACTATTTCACTCTTATGGAGTCAAAATTTTATACACTGGGCTGGGGATGTGGCTCAAGTGGTAGCACGCTTGCCTAGCATGCGTGAGGCACTGGGTTCGATTCTCAGCACCACATAAAAATAAAAAAATAAAGATATTGTGTCCACCTAAAACTAAAAAATATTTTTTTAAAAAATTCTACACCCTGAGTCCACCTTCCAGTTCCCATAAAAATGATGACAAACTCCTTGTAAGTCACAAAGCACCACCCAACAAGAGTATCCCCGGCCAGTGCTCTATCTACAGTGGGCTGCTGCTAATCACAGTAGTAGCACTCAGCTGGGGCTCTGCCTCCTGGGGGATGGGATTAGGTATGGTCTTTGTACTGTAAACTTCGACATTTTTTACATATTCGGATGTTCTGACATCTTACAAAAACCTTTTGGCTGGGAAGAATCTGTTCTCCTGTCAATTCTAAGAGCCCAAACTGACCAGTCCTGAGCCCATTTGCCCAGACTCTGGAGGCAACACTCCTCTGTCTCAGTCACCCTAGACCCGGTGCCAGGCCACCAGAGAACACTCCGTGGGAAACCCAATATAGACAGTGGCCCTAACTTCCCTGCCCCTCTCTTCTCTGACTCTGGGCCACCTTGGTTTCTTTTTCATGTGAGCCTGGATAGAGTGCCATGCTTTTTATTTCTAGGACCTGTGAGTGTAATAAACTTTGTCTTCCTGAGCCTTTACTGTGACCCTTTTTGTGGCTGTAACTAACTGACCATTTCCTAAAAAAACACAAGACAGTATTCCAAGGCACAAAGGTAACAAGAACACTCAGACAATATCTGAGATCAATACAGAGATCAAGATGCAAAAGCAGATAATTTCTTTCCTTTTTGAGGGGAGGACCAGGAATTGAACCTAGGGGCGCTTAACTACTGAGCCAGATCCCTAGTCCTTTTTAAATATTTTGTTTTGAGACAGGTTCTCACAAAGTTGCTTAGACTGGCCTTGAACTTGAAAAAGCTTCCTGACTCAGCCTCCTGAGAAGCTGAGATTATAGGCCTGCACCACCATGCCTGGCAGACAATTTCTTTTAACAAGGTGCTAAGGCTTCATTGTAAGGTAAGGATAGAAGTAAATAGATATTACATAGAAATCATTCTTGTAAAACTGGACTAAAAGGAATGGAAAGGAGAACAGATGTACCTCCCACTCCTGCCCCCAAATGAACTTGAGTGTGAGATGGTAGCAGGAGACAGGGTGTGAGGGCAGAAGTCAAGACATACATGCCTTGCCTGCCTGGGAGAACAGGGACACTGGAAAAAAGAACCAGGGGGTTGAATTGTTGGGGGGAAAAGATGAATCAGTAAGATGAATAATATAAGACATTGAAGGATTGAGAAATTCAAAAAACATCTAAGAAAAATGGCCCAGAAGGCATTTAGAAATGACAGGTCAGGGCTAAAAATTCTGTAAGGTTGTCACTTAAAACAGTATTACTGAACTAAATCTCAGAGATCTTAGTTCAGAGCTTCTAGAAACCTTAAGTGAACAAGGCTAGTTAGTGGAAGGGCTAAGTTACAATGACCAGGTCCTTGGATTCTGTCTAGTTATTCACATCAAAGTGATAGTTAAATTAAGAGAGAAGAGATGGGGTGTAACCAGTGGTGGAGTGCTCACCTGGCATGTGAGGCCCTGGGCTCACTCCACAGCGCTGCATGCACGCATAAAGAGAGAGAGAGAGAGAGAGAGAGAGAGAGAGAGAGAGAGAGATATCAATAAAGAATGGGTACAAAGAAGAGTAGACTAAAGATGAGGGTACCTATATTAGGAGCCAGAAAGACAAAGAGCCAGAGAAGGACCAGTTAGAGAAGAAAAAAGCATTCAAGACTAGTCTCAGGAGCAGGAAGAAAGAGCTACAAGGAAGACATAGTTTAATTAATGTCAAGTGGTACCGGGCACTGAAAAAGAAATTAATTTGAAGAAAATAGAGAAAAGGCAATAATATAGCTAAAACCAATAATTGATGAAACAGGGGAAAACATAATAGAAAGACATCAACTTAACTTACAAATTTCTGGTTAGATGAAATGAGAAAATGAGAGAAAGAGCAAGTAAACAATTCAAGGATTAAGAAAAGGTCAATAAAATACTACAGTACTATTAATTGAAATGCATTCTGCAGTCATATATAACAAATTAGAACAAATAAATTAAAAAAAAAAGAAAATACTACAGATAACAAAAAGATAAGGAGTATCATAAACCACTTCATGCTAATAAAATTAAAACAGAAATGGAAACCAGGAGCAGTGGCATACAACTGTAATTCCAGCAACTCAGGAGGCTGAGGAACTAAGCAATTTAGTGAGACCCTGTCTCAAAAACAAAAACAAAACCCCAAAATAAAACCTAAAAAACTTAGAAATAACTCTCCAGAAAACATAAGAATGACTCAAGAAATAGAAAATCCAGAGTCCCACAGCATTTATAGAAACTGGATTAGTAGGTAAAAATCTGAAAAAGAGAATACAAAGCCTATACAATTTGAGTATCTAAGGGTGCTTCAAATTCAAGGAACATGTAATTCCAGTGTTTCACAAACTTTTCTAGAGAACAATAACAAAACAAAACAAGAAATACTTCCTAATTCACTTAATGAGGCGAAATAACTTTAACCAGAAAAAAATACAAAAAAGAAAAAATAATACAAACTAGTTCAATTAATAAACACATATGGTAAAATCTTAACAGCAATAGCAAACCTTATCTAGAAAGATAACACATTATGTGTAAAGTGGGTTATTCCGGGAATACAAGGTTGGCTTGTGGTTTTTTTAAACAAACAAATAAAAAATGAATAGGGTTCACCAAATTCATTAATGGGGGAGGGAGAGTGGGAGGTGGCAGAAGCAAAGGGGTGGATTATAGCGTCATCTCAAAGGATGCAAAAGATAATTAGATAAAATGCAATATCCACTAAAAACACAAGGTATAGGAATATAAATTTTCTCAACTTTATACTATGAAGTAATGCAAATAAACAAATGAATCTGAGGTGATGGCCAAACACCGAAAGCCACTAAGGTCAGCGTGCTAAGGCCACCTCCACAGCCACCGCAAGGGGGGCTTTGCCAGCTCAAGCAGCAGGGAAGGAGACACCTGGGCTGGAAAAGTCACTCTTCTTCGGTGGTCTGATTGCAGATGTGGAACATCCCAAGGACAATAATACTGTCACAGAAGCCCAAGTCTAACAAGGTGCAGCACAGAAGTCTACTGTAAAGCTGCCTTTGTCTAGACCGAATGAAAAAACTTCAAGAGTTTATGTATAATACTTACGGAGTTCTGGGAATAAATATATCAAAGTACAGCAAGTTCTATAAGTAAAACATTATAAAGCTTTACCTAGACACGATAAAGAAGACAAATGTGTGGTACAGGAAGTCTCAACCTTGTAAATAGGTCAGTTCTCCC